GTACAAAAGTATCACGTAAAAAATGACAATCCACCTCAATATGTTTCGTTCGCACATGAAAAAACAGGATTGGCCACAAGATGAAGTGCAAACTAACTGTCACAATGCAGGCGCATGGGGTTAGAATGAGAAACACCAAGACTTCGTAACAACACCTTCACCAACTTCATTTCACAAACAGTAGAAGCCATAGCCCTATATTCAGATTCTGTTGAAGAACAACATACAGTTTGTTGCTTCTTAGTATGCCAGGAAATGGGAGAATGGCCAAGTGTAACAAACCACCCAGTAAGGGAATGACGAGACAAATGACAACTGGCCTAATCAGAATCACACTAGCCATATAACTGAAGATCACTATCAGCACGAAGAAGGATCCCTTTTCCGAGAGTCGACTTCAAATAGCGCACAACACGAAGAGTCAAGATATGAACAGAATTCAAGAGATTGGGAGAGTGATTGTCAAGTAGCTCAAACGACCAATCAACTTACGATAAGGCTCAGGATTTGAGAAAAGAGGGCCAAAGCGCAAGACGGTGATTCTGTTCCATAGGAAATGCTGCAAGTTTCCCTCCCAATACCGACCTCCTAGAGAATGTTTAAGGCATATTTCCGCTTACAGAGGAAGATTCCAGAGGCATTACAAGCCACCTTAAGACCCAGAAAATACTGAAGAGTCCCGAGATCCTTCATATGAAAACACTAGCTAAGATAAGCTTTAAAAACAGAAATAGTAACAGAATCATTCCCACCAATAACAAGATCATCAACATACATGAGAATGCTAAGGCTGAAAACTCCATGAAAAAAGGTAAACAAAGAATAATCAATAGAAGACTTGACAAAACCATAGAGCTTTAAGCCACTAGCCAACTTGGCGAACCAGCAGCCAGGTGCTTGCTTGAATCCCTAAAGAGATCGGCGAAGACGAGAAACTTGATCAGAAGAATCAAATTGAAATGGGGGGAGGGGGTTTCATATACACCTCCACTTGTAGGTCACCATGAAGAAAAGCGTATGCACATCTATTTCATGTAACTCCCAATTCTTGGCAGCATCAACAGCAAACAAAGTACGAACAATAACAATTTTGACAACAAGGGCAAATGTCTCAGTATAGTCAATGCCTTCAACGTGGTTGTTACGAGAATAACCAAGCGAGTTTTGTATCGCTCAATACCCATCAGCACGATATTTAATTTTGAAAATCTACTTACAACCAATAGCGTGCTTTCCGGGAGGAAGAAGAGTAAGATCCCAAGTCTGGTTATTCTCCAAGCATGAATTTTTCCATTCATGGCAGAACGCCAATGAGCATCCTACAAAGCCTCACGAAAGGTACAAGGCTCAACACCTGTAGTAATAGCTGCCAAGAAAACCCGATGAAGGGGTGAAAAAGATGCAAAATTTATGAAATGTGTTATAGGATAAGGAGTACCTGAAGACGACGACAAAGCAAGGGGAGCAATAGTGGGAGAGGAGGGGGAGGTGGAGACTGACACTATGACGAGCATAGTCATGAAGGTGAGTGTTGGGTAATTAATTAGAAAACCAAAGGCAAAACTGTTACCTTTGACTTGTAACCATACCCAGAGGCTAGAGGTTGCTACTGCAAATTGCAACATTCCGATGCATGCATTCAATTTGAATAGTATTGAATTTGATAATTTTTAGGAATTAATACCATTCCTTCATTAATGTACTATCATTCTTTATTTAGAAATTTAAGGTTGCTTATTCCGGTGAAATTGACCTTGAAAAGTCCCAAAACGAAGGTGGTCCATGTGACGCATAAGATAGTTGCTACATACTTTTGATTTAGTCAAGGGAACTAATAGGATGATGGATTTGTATAAATACATGCAAATACGAAGGCCATGGAGATATCACACAACATTCAGCAATATTTTCAGGAAATATACTTCAAACTACACACAAAACATTCAAGCTATAGCTATTGAAATAATTATGTCTCCTAATTTGGATAACGGTAACAATGTTGATCATGCGAGCACCTCTGAAATCGTAGAGAAATGGTTCCATGATCACATTCAGCATCATGCAAAACCTAAGCTCACCAAACTCCATTTCTTTGTGCACGACAACGTTATCGCCGACAATCCTACATCCGTTCTTATTGCCCCAGCCAACACCGACAATATTGCGTCTATCGCTTTCGGTTCAACCTACGCTATGGATGCACCAATCACTTTGGATTCAGATCCGAGTTCCGAACTCATTGGTCGAGCCCAAGGCACGTTTACCTTTGCAGGTCAAGCTGAACCTGTCCTATCTATGGTTATCAATTTGGTGATCACGGAAGGAGATTTCAAGAGAAGTTCTATAAGTATTTTAGGAAATAACCCCATATCTCATGACTACAGAGAAATGCCAATATTGGGAGGTACCGGGGTCTTTCGCATGGCTTGCCTACAGTGGATACCATCACTGTTGACATTGCAGAATGACATTCTTGAGTACCATGCCATCATTCAGCATTACTGATTCCTTGCAGGATTGATCCATGGCTCTCGACTCATACTTGTGTTTTAATTTTATGCATTCATTACTTGGTAGCTGCTCAAGTTTTCCTCTGGAAAAATTTTTCGCAAAGCCATCTGTTTGCACGCAATTGTTACTTGACGAATTTCATTTGTAATCATCTTCTATATGTTCATGAATAAATTGAAAAATGTTCAATTTTATTATATGCTCTATTTTATTTTATGATGCCTTGTATCTTTTGAAATCGATTCTCCTACAGATAAATATAAAGAAAAGTGCATGATACATGACTAGGAATGCTATATAATACATCTGAACCACACAGGCCGCTGTGGATTAATTTTGCCCAGAAGATGATTGTAAAATGTTTCAAACAATTTTAACAGATAACCTACGGGATCAACAAATCCCTGTTAAAGTACAAGGCGTAGTACTGGTTTTAATTGCACTTATAGACACATTCGAATATTATGAACTGATTAAAAGTTAATAAATCGGATATGACTGAAATTCATAATATTGCATATTATATGATAGAACCTAATAGTTTAGGTCTTTTATCTTAATCTAATAGAGGTACATTTATCAAAAAAACAAAACAAGTAATACTTTATTTGTTATAGAAAAAACAGTCCATTCGTGGAACCAAAGAATACATCAACATTAAATTAACCATATTCTTTGAAAATCAATGTAACCGAAAAGATATTTAGTTGGCTTAGGCCTTTGGCTGGGAATAGCTATTTCGGTGTAGCCTGGCCTTAAAAGAAATGAAATGATGAACTCTTTTATTCAAGTTGCATCTAATTGTAGATTGGAGTGAGTAGGTTTTAAACTAGCTAATTACAGAAAGCTATATATGGGATTGATGAATTTCTTTCTTTAATTTCTAAAAACATTGAAAATTCTTAATAATGACCTACATTTGGCGATATAAAGTTTTGGGCCGGCAGAAATCCAACCAAGCGATCGAGAAAAATTCACCTATGATAATAATTGTAGCTCAATCCCAAATACAGTAGAACTATTTTTTTAAAATTTTGCTGTTGCAAGCACAAAATTTTATTAATTTCAAAAATTATTAAACGATCTATCAATTAAGTAAATTATTAATTTAAAAAATTCTTAAGAAAAAAATCGTTACAAAACGACCTAATTCTCAATTATCTTTATCATTCAAATCAAGCAAGTATTGAAACTCTTCGCGATGCTAACATAATACAAAGTTCATGTTATTTTCAGAGACTAAATAAACAAATATCAATAGTTCATATTTAACTAAATATTTATAATTATTATTATTTATTGTTATTTTGATATAGGGTAAGTATTAATTATAAGATTCTCCGGACCAATAGGTATATAGAGGATTTTCTAAAATATCATTATCTTTTATTTATGGATTTTTCTTACTTTTCGCATTGGTTCCAAGTTGGGATGAGAGAATATTATTAATAACTTGAAGTTATTAATTTAGAAATTATTAATTCAGCGACGTTTTACTGTATATAATCTTAATTGATTTATGGATGTCACGTGCCAATTATAATTAACGAGGATGATAAATGGTTATTATAGACACCTAAAGATATGAGGAAAATTCTTTTACCATTTTGTTTACCTATTAATAAACAATTGGTGAGTTGCTCTAGTGTTAAATGTACAAGGACAAGCATAAGTGGATAAACATTGAGAAAGATAAATCAATGGATAAGAGAACCAAAATGAAAAACATTGCCGAGATGGCCTCAAAGCATATTTTATATCGAATAAATTGATATTAACTTGTAACTGTAACTGCGGAAAGATTAATGTAAACTGATTTTCATTAAAAGAATATTTATTCTATATTTAGGAATTCAACAGCAGCTTATTTCGATAAAAATGACCAAGAAAAGTCCCAAAAAGGAATAGTCCAACCATAAATATAATTCTATTAGATAATGAAAACTCATTATTGGATAATGAAAGCACTTTATTCCAAGCAGCTTGTTTGGTCATGGCCGAGGTTCTATTGGATAATGAAAACTCAATTTAAAATTCTTTGATATCAACCGTAAATATAATTCTGTTAGATGCTATTGCCAAATGCGACGTCTCAGTAGCGTAAATGATATTAACTGAAATGGCATCTACGGATTTATAACATTCTCTATCGAAACAATCCACTTTCAGTAATTAATGGCTAATAATCATTAAGCAATTAATTCACGGAGAAATTTCCATTATAGGAAATGGTCCATAGTCCACGTGAATCGTGACTCATATATATGGTCAAGGCTACTTAGAAAGAGAAAATGGACAAGTTTTAAAGCTTTTGATTTAGTCAACCATTTCCACTTGTACCAGGCACTACTAATATGTTGACGAGTTAGTATAAATATAGATGTGAAGGCCATGGAGAGATATCACACAACTCTTCGACATAGCATTTCATCAAACATTTCAAAACTATTCACAGAAAACATTCAGAGTCTAAAACATAGCATTTTATCATGTCTCCTTCTTTGGCTATCAAAGGTAACAATGTTGATCATGAGAGCAACCCTGAAATAGTAGAGAAATGGTTCCATGACCACATTCAGCATCATGCAAAACCTAAGCTCACCAAACTCCATTTCTTTGTCCATGACAACGTTACCGCCGACAATCCTACATCCGTTCTTATAGCCCCAGCCAACACCGACAATTTTGCGTCTATCGCTTTCGGTTCAACCTACGCTATGGATGCTCCGATCACTGTGGATTCAGATCCGAGTTCCAAACTCATTGGTCGAGCACAAGGCACGTTTACCTTTGCAGGTCAAGCTGAACCTGTCTCATCTATGGTTATCAATTTGGTGTTCACGGAAGGAGATTTCAAGGGCAGTTCTCTAAGCATTCTAGGGAATAAACCCAATATCTCATGATTATAGAGAAATGCCAATATTGGGAGGTACTGGAGTATTTCGCATGGCTCGCGGGATTGCCACAGTGGATACAGTTACTGTTGCAAAGCTGAATGACATTCTTGAGTACCATGCCATCATTCAGCATTACTGATTCACTGCAGGATTGATCCATGGCTCTCAACTCATACTTGTGTTTTAAATTTATGCATTCATTACTTGGTAGTTGCTCAAGTTTTCCTCTGGGAAAATTTTTTGCAAAGCCCTCTGTTTGCACGTAATGGTTACTTGACGAATTTCATTTGTAATCATCTTCTATATATTCATGAATAAATTGAAAAATATTTGATTTTAACATATGCTCTATCTTCTTTTATGAAGCCTTGGTTTCTTTGAATTTTTTTTTTCTCGAAATTGGTTCTCCTACAGATAAATAAAAAGTAAAATTCCTGAGAAATGATGCCTTGATTACGAGGAACGTTATATAGTTCCTAGATATACATTTGAACCACACAGGTCACTGTGAATTTTGACCCAGAAGATATTTGTAAAATATTTCAAAATCATCCAAACAAACATACAAGATACTAATGTTGGGCCAGGTTCCCTTCAATTGGGCCAACAAAGAAAAGGAAAATAAAACCAAGTCAACTTGGACTTTGGTTTGGGTTTGACGGATGGAAACAAAACCTACTCGAATTGGGTTTTAGTTTTTTTTGGCTTTGCTCTATAAAAGCAAGGCTTTTTGCACAATTTGTGTATGTGTTTTCAGCCGAGAGAGAAAGAAAACTTGGGCAGCCGCACATTGTTTTGTGCGAAGGAAAACAAGAAGAAAACTAGAGTTTTGGGTTCTGGTGTTGTGAAAAGAAAGTGTTTCACTTTAAGGCTTTGATCGAGTGACGAAACAGAGTCAGTTATTGGTGCAAGTTTACATGTAAATCTGTGTGCCTACTTTTATAAACTCAACACACTACGGAAACGAACCTAAAGAAAAATCTTCTTTCCTACTACTAATAAAATAGGACAACCAACCAAATAAGCAAATAATTTAAGAATTGATAAAGTAAAGTAGGCACACAAATTTACGTGGAAAATCCAAATCGGAAAAAACCATGGGACTGTAACAACAGTCAAATATCCACTATCACAATAATGAGAAAATAGTCTTTACCAACCGGTGGATACACATGATTTCACCCAAAGGTGGATTACAATAATACTCTTCCAAAATACAACTAAAGCACAAGGTGGAATTGGAAGGATCTCACCAAAAGAGTGTTAATATGAAAACTAAACCAGTGAATTTGTAGATCTTCTTGAGAGGAACACACATGCAAACTTGCACCAATAACTGACTCTATTTCGGCACCCGATCAAAGCTTTAAAATGAAATACTTTCTTCTCACAACACGAGAACCCAAAACCCTAGTTTTCTTCTTGTTTTCCTTGGCACAAAACAATATACAGTTGCCCAAGTTTTCTTTCTCTCTCGGCTGAAAACACATGCACAAATTGTGCATAAAGCCTTGCTTTTATAGAGCAAAGCTAAAAAAAAAATAAATAAAACCCAATTGGAGTAGGTTTGTTTCCATCCGTCAAACCCACACAAAAGTCCAAGTTGACTTGGTTTTATTTTCCTTTTCTTTGTCGGCCCAATTGAAGGGGAACCGGGCACAACAATCTCCCCCTTCACCTCAACTGGGGGGTAAAACCAAACCCGCTTCCTGTCTACAGAACATAAGCTTTTCTCTAGTCACGGTCTTCGTCAACATATCGGCACCGTTATCATCCGTATGGATCCTCTCAAGAAACAACGCCTTGGACTCCAGTACATCCCGAATCCAATGATATCTCACATCAATATGTTTTGACTGCAAATGAAATGTGGAATTGTTTGCTAAGTGAATAGCGCTCTGGCTATCACAATACACCACATATCTGTCTTGCTTCATGCCGAGCTCTTGTAGAAACTTCTGCAACCAAAATGCTTCTTCACAAGATTTAGTAGCTGCGATAAACTCTGCCTCTGTAGTAGACAAAGCAACATACATCTGCAACATACTCTGCCATGAAACTGCTCCCCCCTCCATAAGTCATCAAATGACCAAAAGTAGACTTCTGACCCTCAAGGTCACCGCCATGTCAGCATCTGTATATCCATCTAACATGGTCTTCCTGTTGCCAAAGCAAAGACTCAATTTGGAAGTACCCCTAAGATACCTGTGAATCCACTTAACACCATTTCAATGCTCCTTACCAGGATTGGAGAGAAATCGACGAACAACACCAGCTGCATGAGCTATGTCTGGCCTTGTGCAAACTATCGCATACATGAGGCTGCCAACTGCCAAAGCATAAGGAACCTTTTTCATCTCTTTCTTATCTTTCTCACTTTTAGGACACTGTGTTCTGCTTAGCTTAAAATGCACTGCAAGTGGATCGAGACTTCCTTAGCACCGCTCATGTTAAACCTATCAAGAACCTTCTCGATATACTTCTCTTGAGATACCCAAAGCTTCCAATTATGTCTGTCACGAGAAATTTTCATCCCAAGGGTCAGTCTAGCCGGACCCAAATCCTTCATCGCAAAGGACTTATTCAACTCCTTTTTCAACCTGGGAATCTTTGTAGGATCATGACCAACAATTAACATGTCATCGACATAAAGCAAGAGGATTATAAAATCACCATCAGAGAATTTCTTCACAAACATACAGTGATCAGCTGTAGTCCTTTGGTATCCCTGCCCGATCATGAAGGCATCAAACTTCTTGTACCACTGCCTCGGAGCTTGCTTGAACCCATACAAGCTTTTGTTAAGACGACATACAAGCTTCTCTATCCCCTTCTCCTGGAACCCATCTATTTGGTCTATGTAAATCTCTTCTTCCAAATCACCATGCAAGAAGACTGCCTTCACATCAAGCTGTTCAATCTAAAGATTCAAGCTGGCTACTATCCCAAGCGCAACTCGGATTGAAGACATCTTTACAACAAGAGAGAATATCTCATCAAAGTGTACGCTGTTTCTCTGATTGAATCCCTTCACAAAAAATCTGGCTTTGTACCTCGGTTATGAGCTACTCTCACTTGTTTTCAGTCTAAACACCCATTTATTCTTGAGTGCTCTCTTGCCCTTAGGCAGCTTTACCAGGTCATACGTGTTATTCTCATGCAAGGATTTGATCTCTTCTTGCATGGCTGCTAACCACTGATCTTTCTGCTCATGACTAAGAACCTTTTCATACCACTCTGGTTCTCTCCCATCAGTAAACAAATAATACTCATGAGCATTGTACTTGGTGGAAGGTCTCATGTCTCTGGTGGACCTCCTTAGCTGAATAGGAGGTGATGAAACCGGTGGTGCCTTTGTCTCAGTAGCACGATCATCATCAGACTCACCATCTTGCTCTATCTCAGCTCCCCCTTTAAGAGAATCATCATGAATCTCTGGTGAAGATTCTCGTATCTCGCCGTTTCCCGTATCATTAATGGTCTGGTCTTCAAAAAAGATAACATCTCTGCTTCTGAAAACTTTCTTCTCCACAAGATCCCAAAATCTGTACCCAAAATCATCATTACTATACCCTCAGAATACACAATACTTGGATTTGCCATCAAGCTTCGACCTTTCATCTTTGGGAATATGAACAAATTCACGACAACCAAAACCTTGCAAATGTCCAAATGAGACATCTTTCCCTGTCCAAACTCTTTGTGGTAGATCACCATCCAACGAAACTGAGAGAGATAGGTTGATCAAATCAACTGCTATCTGCATGGTTTCACCCCAAAAAGATTTAGGTAGCTTTTCATTCGAGAGCATACACCTAACCTTTTCGGTAATAGTTCTGTTCATTCTTTCTGCCAAACCATTTTACTGCGGAGTCTTCAGAACACTCTTTTGAAGTTTAATGCCATGGTCTCGGCAATACTTCTCAAACAGACCCCTGTACTTACAACCATTATCTGCTCGAACACACTTCAACTTCTTACTAGTCTCTCTTTCAACTGTAAGGTGAAAGTCTTTGAATACATCTAATACCTGATCCTTAGATTTCAAAGAAAAACACCAAATCTTTCGAGCATAGTCATCAACGAAAGTAACAGAGTACAATGCACCACCCAACGACCTATCTTTCATGTAACAAACATCTATATGAACTAACTCTAAAGGACTGGACTTTCTAGATGGAGGAGAATTTTGAAGGAAGCCCTATGTTGTTTACCATAGATACAGTCAATACAAGGTTCTAGCCCTTTCACTTCGGGGAGAAATTGCTTCTTACCAAGAATCTGGAGCCCCTTGACACTGATGTGTCCAAGCCTTCTGTACTAGAGATCAATGGAGGCATTGTGAGTTGCATTCACCTCTCCATTCTTCAACTTTGCATTCAACACATACAAAGAGTTCAACTTTTTTCCTCTAACAATAATAAGATTCCCTCTGCTAATTGTCCAACGACCACCACTTTCAGTGCTATGATAACTCTCATCATCAAGTTTACCAACGAAAATAAGGTTCAGTGTCTCACATTCTTCAAGATAAGAGTACAACCTGTATTCAATACCAATGATACCTCTTCCATGCCGACAGCGTCGCATGAGGCTTCGTTGCCCATTCTTACATGACCAAAATCTCCAGGTGTGTAAGAGGTGAAAAAGTGTTTATGAGGCATCACATGATAAGACGCACCTGAATCACTGAACCAATCACTGTCAACATTAATTGTATCATCATCACAGTACACAAATACATCACCGGGAGTTACTAATGCAGTAGTGTCATCATTACTTGATTCATCTTTCTTGCCTTTACCTTTTCTCGCTGCTAATTCTCTCTTGAGAACTCTGCACTCCCTCTTAAAGTGCCTATTCCCTTGACAATGATAGCACATGACATCTTTCTTGGATTTAGACCGTCCCCTGAACTTGTCATTCCGATCACGTGGCCCTCTGCTTTTACTTCTCCCTCTTATGTCTGACTTTTCTGTCACCAGAGCCTGCGACTTAGATTCAATACTCTGCTCTTTTCTCCTGACTTTTTCATTCATCAAAACCTCTTTGACCTGATCCAAGGTCAAGACACCATCTTGGGTTGACTTACTGATTGACAGTACCAAAGTGTCCCAATTGTCTGGAAGAGAACTAAACAATAACAAAGTGCGTACCTCATCATCCAACCTTAAACCTACATTCACTGCCTGGTTCAACATACCCTGAAACGAACTCAAGTGTTCATTCATGCTAGCACCATCTTTATAACTCAACCTAGTAATCTGTTTCAGCGCATATGACTTATTGATGGCGGACTTCTTCCAGTACATATTCTGGATTTTCTCCCAAAGTTCATCAGCTTTTGTTTCTCCCGAAAAGTGATGAAACACACTTAGATCAATCCACTGTCGAATATTTCATACAGTCTTCCTATGCATATCAGCCCACTTTTTATCAGTCTTATCACTTGTCCGACCTTTATTCCCTAGAACAGGATCAAACAAATCTTTGCAATAGAACAAGTCTTCCATTCTAGGTTTCCACATATGATAATTAGATGAAGTCAATTTAATCATCGTACTAGCACCCGATGATTCTTCCATCTTATTGGTGTAAAACCTCAACTACCGAACTCTGATAGCACTGTTAGAGATTTATCTGGAAGAGAAAAGCCGACATGTAACCCAATAAACAAAATAAGATCCATCAATTAAGTAGAAAGAGGAAACTAACAAGTAATACTTTAATTATTTGTTATAGAAAAAAGCTCCATTCGTGGAACTGAAAAAGTATTTAACCATACATCAACATTAAATTAACGATATTCTTTTAAAATCAATGTAACAAAAAATATATTTTGTCTGCTGGGGCTTGTGGCTGGGGATAGCTGTTTCGGCGTAGCTTGGCTTAATTAAAAAAAGTGAAATAATGAACTCTTTTATTTAAGTTTCATCTAATTGTAGATTGGAGTGAGTAGGTATTAAACTAATGAAAGCAATATGTACATGGGATTGATAAATTTCTTTGTTTAATTTCTAGGGCCATGAAAACAGTGGGAATTCTTAATAATGACCTACATTTGTCGATATAAACTTTTTGGCCGGCAGAAATCCAACCAAGCGATCGAGGAAAATTCACCTTTGATAACAATTGTAGGTCAATTCCAAATACAGTAGAACTTCCTTTTAAATCAGTACTGTTTGAACCGCAAAATTTTGTTAATTTAAAAACTAATTAAATAATCTATCCATTAATAAATATTTAATTTAAATATTTTTGAAAAAAAATCATCGCTAAATCACCTAGTAAGCTCTTCTCGGTACTAAAATAATACAAAGTTCATCTCAATTTCAGAGACTAAAGAAACAAATATCAATAGTTCATATTTTATTTAATATTTATAGTTATTATTATTTATTATTATTTTCATTTAGGGTAAGTATTAATTATAATATTGTCTGGACCAATAGGTATATAGAGAATTTTTAAAACATTTTAGTATTAATTATAAGATTTTCCGAAGCAATAGCTATATAGAGGATTTTTGAAACATTATTATCTTTTTATTTTATTGATTTTTCTCACTTTTCGCATTGGTCCAAGTTGAGATGTTAGAAAATATTTAATAACTCAAAGTTATTAATTTAGAGATGATTTATTTAGCGATGTTTTTGTTTATATAGTAATCTTAATTGATTTATGGATGTCACATGCCAACTATAATCAGCGAGAATGATAAATGGTTATTATAGACACCTAAAAATATGAGGAAATTTTTTTTTTTTACCGTTTTGTTTACAAATTAATAAAACAATTGGTAAGTTGCTCTAGTGATAAATGTACATGACATGTATAAGTGGATAAACATTGAAAAAGATAAATAAATGGACAAAGAGAAAACCAAAACAAAAAAGCATTGCCGAGATGGCCTAAAAGCATATTTTATGTCGAGTAAAATATTAACTTGTAACCGTGGCTGCGGAAAGATTAGTACCATACCATGAACTAATTTTCATTAAAAGAATATTTATTCCATATATAGGAATTCAACAGCAGCTTATTTTGGTAAAAATAACCAAGAAAAGTCCGAAAAAGGAATGGTCCAAATGACACATAGCACACGTGTTTTTCTTCGGGTCAAGGTCGCTTAGGGATAAAGTTTAAACTCTTTTATTCAGTTAACTATTTCCACTTCTAATAGGAAATTAACCTAGTATGGTACTGAATCTGTATCAATAGAGTGGTTTAGGCTATGGGGATATCACTGATGAATCTTCAACCTTATTTCCATCAAACACTTCAGGTAATACACACAAAAAATAAAAAAATCAATTTAAAGTTATTGAATACATTAGCATGGCTCCTTCTTTAGCTAATGCTAGCATTGTTGACAATGAGAGCACAAGTGGTAGAGAAATGGTTTCATGAGAATATTGAGCATCACGCAAAACAAAAGATCACCGAGCTCCGTTTCTTTGTCCACAATTAGGGGTGTTAAAAAAAAACCGGAACTATTTAAGCAAACCGTAAATCATTCAAAACCAAACTGTTTAACCGCAATTAACGGTTAAGGTGGTTAGACGGTCTTGGTTTATTGGTTTCCAGAGGTTAAATGGTTCGGTTTCTGATTGAGACATCACCTCCAATGGTTTAACTGATTAACCATTACTTTTGTTCGGCACATTAAATTTCATATATCATTTTAATAGATACATATGGATGTGATGTAATTAAACATGGTTGACAAATGATTAATTTTTTTTCTTTTTAATAATTTTGAGATATAATTTTATTGAGAGGCCCTTATATAATTGAGGGTCTCGTTCAAAATTTTGTTTTTATTTCTTTACGAAGATGTTCATTAAAATGATTGTGTATGTTTGTTTTTTTATATTCTTTCCCTAGTTTTGTGAAATTATTAGAAATTAGAATATACACATACATTTTTTAAAGTATTAAAACTTTATCGGTAATACGACTGGAACTATTTAACAAAAACCGCCGTAAACCGATACTTAATTGGTGAGTTAATCGGTTACTATGAAAAAATTCAAAAATCTTTATTAGCTGGACCGTCTACCTGCTTTTTTTTTTTCTCTTTGTTTACTTGCTAGAAGTTTCACTTTTTAAGAAAGATGAATTCAAAAATTGTACTCCTTTAATTTCAGAAAACAAGGATTTAGTTTGTTGAGCTAGAACGATACTAGAAATATGTGTTTTTGTTTTTTTTTTTTTTTTGAGACAAAGGAAAAAAGTACGACATTATTTAGCTCTTGAAATTTTAGAATATATCTGTTGGACCGATTTTGGCAAATCTGGTGCACACAAGTTGGGCCGATCACAGAAACAATAAGGGGAGCAAATAAATTAATAAGCCCGCGAGAAAATTGAAGAAGAAGCGGCGGTCGACAGTTTGAATTGCAAAAGGAATCGTCGACGTTGCAATCATGTCGGAGAAGGATTCCAACTGCAACAAAAGTCCTTATCATATTCGACTTCTGTTGCAGTTTGACTAGGGTTGGCGGACCGTCTATAAAAGCTATGAAGGAGAGACGGCAAAGGACACAATTCATGGTTTTCTTTACAGTTTTTATCATTTATTTTCTTTATGGTTTCATGTATTTCTTTACTTTTCAATATTAATTCTTGTAAGCTTTTCGATGTTTCTGGCTATTCACAGCCGATTCGTTCTCATCAATTCAGTGAAGCTGGCCTTTATTGGCCATTTTATTCTTCTTCTTGAAGCTCTTTATTATTTCATCATCAAATACTTAAACATTCAAGCTTATTGCAAGTCGAAGGTATTGACATCCTTGGAGAAGTCTAATTACTGGACTCCGGGTTTCGAGATCACACAGTCGCTTGAAATTAGTTTGAGCCGAATCGGTCTTCACCTTCAAATACATTTTTGACTCAAACATAAAATTTGACGCGTCCAGTGGGATCGATTAGCGTGTTGTAGGCGTTGTTCAAACAAAGGAGCAATGTCAATGCTTCAATTCTCAAAAGTAACATCATCGGTGGGAAAAGTGTCAACGCCGTATCATACTTAGTAGAAGTTCTTTGCCGATGAGTACGCTTCCTCATATTTCACCGATAGACTCATTCTCAACGGTGATAACAGTCTAATCAGCAACAGTCTAGCGCTGGGTCAAGCCTTTTTGGGAAAGATCTAGTTGTTTTGGATCTTACAGAATTCCGGGTTGTCAGACTCCAAGGGTTTGAAGCCCATTATTCCAAACTTCGGTATTTCATAATCAAGGTCAAACAGATCAGATTCTACCGATGACTCCAGAGATGACGCAGCAAAGGTTTATGGAGCTAGAACATCATATCGCTGCACAGGTGGCATGGTTTGAACATGCTCTACAGATGATAATGATCAGAACGTGAACTCAGGAAATACTAGTGCTAGTGGATCAATGGTGATGGGAAACAGTACCGCAACAGGGACGACACATGTAGAAGTACCTTCAATTAACATGATAAACAACCCATTATATAACGCTGTATTCCAACCATCTGCAACAGATACTCCGGTACAGAATACCGAAACAGGAGCAAATAATAACGGGTCACAAATTGTTGCAAATATGGCAGGGCATGGGATGCACAGTTGGTATTATCCAATAGTTCTGAGTCAACCTGCATTTATTTCACCACCTAGGAATTTCACGTATGATGGGCGTCAGTTACCTCTGTTGTCTGCTCAGTAAAATGGACACGTAATGATGCACATGCAAAAAATCAGGTCTAGTCGCACACCACCAGTTCAAACTCAGCAAGGACCAGCGATGGTTCCACCCCAAGTAATTGGACAAGAAGGTGTTCCCAGAATAACTCATGGATTGCAAGGAACATCTGGACCTTTTCTTCAACGTCCTACTGGTGCAGGAATCAATCAAGGTCCTTCTATTGAAACTCCAGAACGGGCCAGTAAGAATGCACAAGGAAGCAATGATCGTGTTTTATGATGTATCAAAATCGTGCTGCGCCACCAGTATCAGCAGGTACTAGTGCAGCTACAAATTTGGCTAATCCACATATACTCAAGGATCTGGTGTAGTTGTTAATTGACAAATTGTTCCACCGCATCAAACTCTAGACGAAAATAGAGAGGAACAATAGTGAATGGAATATGAAGCAAATCAAATTCTGAATCACAATAGGGCACATGCTGTTGGCCGTCCTTATGGAAATCAAAATGGTGGAAATGTCACTCCGCATAATTCACAGCAACAATGGTTTTTTGGCGAAAGGTGTGGGCGTTACCGAGTGGATATCGGTAATGAATTTCGGTAAGAACTAGACGCAACAGTGAATGGCAATCAGCAACATGATTTTGAAGTAGGAGTTGAACAAACTCTGAATGCTGAAGAAACATTTTCAAGGATGTTCGAAGATATGGTACGAAAAGAATTGGGAATAGAGCTTCCAGAAGTCCCTGGAAAGCCATATCCTTATTTTGTTGAATGGGAACCGTTACCAAGAAATTTTAAGATCCCTGATTTTCAACAGTTTTCAGGGGAAGATGAGAAGAGACCTGAGGATCACATAAGTTTATTCAAGTTACAATGTGGTTCAGTAAGCAACAACGCCATAATTAAGTTGCGTTTGTTTCCTTATTCCTTGAAGGGAACTGCCTTTGATTGGTACAAATCATTAGCACAAAGGTCTATTCCATCATGGGATTTTCAACATAGAGAATTCCTATCATATTTCTGTAGGGATACTGCACGATTGTCAATTGTGGACTTGTCGGAGATTCAGCAAAACTTTGGAGAAAATGCAGAAGTATGCTTAATTCGGTTCCGCCAGATGTATGCTAAAATACCTGACAAGTATGAAGAATCAACTATTGTTAAAATGAGCGTCGCAGGAATTCAAGATTACAAGGTAAAATTAGCTGTTGCACCACATTCCGTCCGATCTTTAAAACATTAGGTGGATATTGTAAGACGGTGTGAGAAGGTAATCAGAGATCAACGAGAGAAGAATCCAGGAAAAGCAAAGCAGTGGTTTAATAAGAATCCAGTAGCAGAAGTAAATCAAAATCATTGGGTCCGTGATGAAGACGATGATGAATATGACGTTAATGCTGCTGAAATCGTCAATGTCTAAAATTATACTTGCGATGCATTACGTAAACCTATAGTGCCCCATTCTTATAACACTCCTCCACCGGTTGGAGCACCAGCAGGAACTCCAGGACAAGCTAATGGAGCTAATATTGGACGGGTATACTCTTTCGATATTTCTCAGCAAGAGGCTATCTTTGATGATATGTTTGAGAAAGGCCATATTCAGTATAAGAAGGGGTACCGACAACCAAAGCCAGCGGATGTAGTTGGGAAGACATATTACAAGTACCATATGTCATGGACTCACAACATTAATGATTACATAGTATTCAGCAACAAACTTCAGAAGATGATAGTTGATGGTAATGTTATAGTGGAACATCCAGTTGAGATGAATACCAATCCTTTTCCAACACAGCACCAAGTCCGAATGGTTGACTTAGGGTTTGGAGGTCATGCCCCTGATACATGTTTTATAACAGGATGTGAGGACTGTAATAAAGTCTTCAGTCAAGTGAAATGTCAACTTCAGGAGTTAGGTTCTAAGTTCGTGGTACACTTACATCGACAAACTTCACGTCCACCTGCAACAGAAGTAAATATTGTAATCAATGGGCAAACGCAGACCTGGGTGCCGAAAGAAACACACTTAGATCCAGAACAAGAAAAGTCACGGGTAGCACCAGATTCTATTTTGAGTGCACTGAAACAACATCAACACCCAAATTCATAGCATTCGGAAGAGCAGCATGTAACTACTCTGTCTCCAAGGCATTTACCGGTGTAGTCGAGATTGGGGAAGCCAATGCATGCTAAACGGGTTAATGATCAACATACCAGTCAGAATCACCGCCAGTCGGTATGGCAACGGATTGGATGACCTGCAAGACAGAGCAACGGCCCACTAAGGACTATTAAAATGTCGTCAGCAACTGATGGTGAATGGCACCGTGTAACACATTTGAAATGTCCCAACCAAACATCTACCAAAGCCAAAATGACCAGGACTCAAAAACATCGGTGGCAAAGAGAAATGAATAAGAAAGCCAGGGCGGATTCAGAGACAGAAAATACTTGCAAAGTATGAATCACCAACTGAACAAGAGATGCCGTTGATCAGGTTCTTATGACAAGAAGAAAGACGATCACAACTATGGGGAAGTCAGATATATATTTCCCACCAGTAAACATGGTTTACACGTTGTCGAAGTCGTTTTATTTGCAAACCCCTCCATCTGCGACAACCTTGGTTACAAAGACTGTTAAAAACCGGGTTGCTGTTCCAGAAGCAACTTCGATTGTAACGGAACCACATGATACTACAGTTGGTGGAATTTAGTTAGTGTCACAAGAAGGAAAGAATCCGGTTATAATGCTTTCACCTCCGGCAGTGCTGCATCTCATATCAGGCCATTGTACAATATCACGGTTATGGATGGGATCCCGTTAAGAAGAGTATTAGTAAACAACGGTGCAGCTATAAATATTCTACCATCAAGGGCATTACATAGTCTAGATAAGCAATTAAAGGATCTAGTGCTGACTAAAGTTTTTGTGAGTGGATTCACAGGAGATGTCATAAGTACCAAAGAAATTTTACCATTACAAGTGGAAGTAGGATCGCAGATGGTAGTATCAGCGTTCTTTGTGGTTGACACCAAAGCATCTTACAATGCTCTCCTTAGACGAGACTGGATTCATTCGGCAAGATGCATTCCTTCCTCTCAACATCAAGCAATTATTTTGTGGGGAGTAGAAGGTCCAGAAATCATTGCACTCGACACAATTCCTTTCGCAACACAAGATAATGCTGTGGAAGCTTATTACTATGATCAAGAAGTAGGTCCATACCGGGTTATCAGCATGGACAAGTATGGTCAGTCAAAACATGCCACTATGCGCAGAGATATGAATCTTTCTGAATGGACGTTACTATGGTAAAAAGTCAACAGGCCGTACAATTACAACATGTTAAGGCCGTTGCCAGCAGCACTAGCTATAGAAGATGTTTCCAATGAAGACAATTAAACAGCTAGAAGTTTTGAGTGCAGAAGATTTAGACGTTGAGTTGTTGAAAGCGAAAGAGAAACAGAAAGTAATTTGGTGCATATTGCAATATTTTGAAAATGAACGCCGACAGGCAGCTGATACGCCTACAGTATGTTGGGATGAGGTGTTTTATAATATTGATCGGATCTCTGACAGTGATGTCATAGAATTGAATGAATTGGCCACTGCAACACCAAAACTAAGCGATGACGCAGTTGTCACCAAAGAGCCAGTTGAAGCAGTAAACTTAGGTTCATCAGGCAAGGAAAAACCTACTAACATTATTTCTTCCTTAACAGCCGATGAAAAGAAACAATTGATTGTTTTGTTGCAGCAATACCGTGATTGTTTTGCATGGGACTCCTCGGAGATACCAGGTGTAGATCGTAGTTTAGTTGAGCATAGTATCCCTTTGAGGACGGGTTTCAGGCCATTCAAACAACCACCGCGGTGGTTTTCTGAAGATGTTGTCATCAAAGTTAAGGAAGAGATTGAACGCCTACTAGTAGTTGATTTCATCGAAGTAGCAGTATATGTTGAATGGTTATCTAATGTGGTTCCTGTCATCAAGAAAATTGGCAAAACAAGAGTTTGTACAGACTTCCGTAATCTCGATTTGGCGTCACCAAAAGATCAATATCAGATGCCAATTGCGGAAACGTTAATTGACAAATTGACGGGTTTTCAAGTCATGAGCTTTGTTGATGGCAATGCTGGATTCAACCAAATTTTCATAGCTCCTGCAGATGTCAACAAAACTGCTTTTCGAGCGCCTGGAGCATAGGCATTTTTCAGTGGAAGGTAATGCCTTTTGGATTAAAGAATCAAGAGTAACTTACCAACGGGCAACGAACTGTATTTTCCATGACCTTATTGGGAAAGTTTTGGAGGTTTACATAGACGATGTGGTAATGAAGTCACATTGCTTCCCAAAGCATCTGCAACACTTACATCAATGCTTTGAGTGTATGTGGAAATATCAGTTAAAGTTGAACCCATTAAAATGCTCATTTGCAGTGACTTCGGGTGTATTTTTTGGTTTCTTTTTTCATTACAGGGGCATTGAAGTGGATGCTGAAAAGGCCAAGGCGATTATGGAAGCTAGACCTCCACGGACAAAGAAAGAATCACAAAGTCTGATCGGCAAAGTTAATTTCCTTCGCCGATTCATTGCCAACTTGTCTAAGAAGTTAAAACCATTTTCTTCACTTTTGAAGGTTCAAGAGGCCGAAGATTTTGTATGGAAGGAAGAGCAACAGCAAGCATTCCAGGATATCAAGCTGGCTTTATCTACTACTCCAGTTATGGTTGCAGTAATCAAGAACAAGCCATTAAAACTCTACTTGTCGACGACCGAGGAATCTTTAGGTTGTTTATTAGCTCAGGATGGCTACGACGGATTTGAAATAGCCGTTTATTATTTAAGCCACATGGTTACTGACACAGAACACAGATATCCTCCGATTGAAAAGCTGTGTTTGGTATTGTACTTTGCTGTGTCCAAGTTACGCCAGTATATGCTTCCTGGTTTAGTTTGCGTCATCAGAAAAGTCAACATGGTACTGTACATGTTACATCGACCAATGATGAGTGACAGAATAGGAAAATGGGTCCTGGCCTTGATGGAGTATCAATTCTAACATGTACCCCAGTCAGCGATGAAGGGGCAAGTGCTACCAGATTTCCTGGCTTCACATCCCTCACTTGACGATGATTGGGACGGCAAATTCCTTGAGTCGTTCCAGGTGCATCATGTGGAAGAACCTCTATGGACGATACATTTTGACGGATCTAGTACTTTCACACGTAGCGGCGCAGGAATACTAGTTACTCCTCCACAAGGA